TTTTTTTTCTTTTTTCTTTTTTTCTTTTTGAAGTGGAATGGAACAGTAGTGACATTCTCTATCATTCTTTAAGCTTCTTGAGGATCAAATGAAAACCAGTCTGCACTCAGAGTTCTTGTACCTTCCCTGAGACATCCATCTATACCTGTCCTTGACAAGCATCCCCAAGAGCATGCAATGGGAACAAGTGAATGTTTTTAGCATACCACAACATCATGTAACAATGAGCAAATTCATGCTTCTGCAAATGCAGTACCTGAGAAAGAATCGCTTCTCCTCCACTGTCTCCATAAGTCAGATGAACAATAACGATATCTTTATCAGCATTATTTAATCGACTCAATGTCTTAACTTTGCAGGTATCTTCCTTCATCACTTCCTCAAAAATACAGCCACTGACCAAAAGATTTAACTTAATTTCAGTGCAGTCCATTTTAGAGACCACTAATTCATGAACAGTCTTCTTCAGTTTATTTTTCTTTATTTGTATGCCATCAAATGTAAAAGACGATGAAAACCCTAGAATCTTTCCACCTTTACATAAAAACTTCATAAATTGTTTGTGGTTCTCCTCAGAAATAGGCTCCTCTGTGGCAATGATCAACAGTATTGAATTATCAATCCACGGAGCTTTCAGAACTTGTTCCTCATGCAGCTGGTAGATGGTGTAGCTGTCTGCATCAATGCATTCCTGAAGGATTGATTTTACCTGCTCAAATTCCACCTTTGCAGTTTCAGAGCCAAGATAAATCAATATATTAGGGGGCTTTCCAACAAGGTTTACTCTCTTTATTCCTCTTGATAGACAATCATCATTCTTCTCTTCCAGTTTGCTACTGCAATCATCAGAAAGTTCTGGAATGTTTTCTGCAGAGGCAAATCTGACTGACTCAATAGTACTGTTTTCAAGTTGCAGGCATTCATGACAGCTGGAAAGATGCAAGTGATGATGATCTCCAGCGCCTTTCTCTTTGTCAGACAAACTGCTGTTCTCATCTTCATGCTCACTTTCTTTCTTTAGCTGTAATTTCTTCTCTTCACTGTGTCTTGCAGACTCAGCTACTCCTAATCCTGATTTAACAGTAGCACCAAAAGTAGCAGGAGGAGTTACCTCATCCATTTGTGTGCTGCTTACACTTTGCTCTTCTGCAGATCGTGTCACCTGTACCAACTCCTGCAGAGTAGATTCCTGTAAATGGACAGCTGGAAGAGTTAAAGAATAAGAAAAAGGGGTTATAAAAATGATGTTAAATGAGACATGATTAATATCACTGCCACAGCAGGATTTAGACTTAATTTCAGTACAAATCTGCACTCATAACACAAGTAACTTATAGAATCATAGAATGGTTTGGGTTGGAAGAGACCCTAAAGATCATGCAGTTCCAACCCCTCTGCCATGGGCAGGGACACCTCCCACTAGCCCAGGTTGCCCAAAGCCTCATCCAGCCTGGCCTTGAACACCTCCAGGGATGGGGCATCCACAGCTTCTCTGGGCAACCTGTTCCAGTCTCACCACCCTCACAGTGAAAAATTTCTTCCTAATGTCTGACCTAAATCTACCCTCTTTCAGCTTAAAAACACTCCTCAACCTATCACTACCCCCCCTGATAAAGAGTGCCTCCCCATCTCTCCTGTAGGCCCCTTTTAAGCACTGGAAGGCTGCTATAAGGTCTCCCTGGAGCCTTCTCTTCTCCAAGCTGAACAATCCCAACTCTCTCAGACTGTCCTCACAGGGGAGGTGCTCCAGCCCTCTGGCCATCTTCGTGGCTTTCCTCTGAACTTTCTTATGTTGGGGGCTCCAGAGCTGAACGCAGTACTTCAAGTGGGGTCTCACAAGAGCAGAGTAGAGGGGCAGAATCACCTCCCTCGACCTGCTGGTCATAGAATCATAGAATCATAGAATCATAGAATCACCCGGGTTGGAAGGGACCTCAAGGATCATGTAGTTCCAACCCCCCTGCCTGGCAGGGCCACCAAACATACACATTTACTAGATCAGGTTGCCCAGGGCCCCGTCCAACCTGGCCTTGAACACCTCCAAGGACGGGGCATCCACAACCTCCCTGGGCAGCCTGTTCCTGTCATGCACCTCTTGATACAGCCCAGGACACAGCTGGCTTTCTGGGCTGCAAGTGCACACTGCTGGCTCATGTTCAGCTTCTGATCAACCAACACTCCCAAGTCCTTCTTCTCGGGGCTGCTCTCAATCCATTCTCCTCTCATCCTGGATTTGTGGTTGGGATTCTCCCTTGGCCATTCTGAACTTCATGAGATTTGCACGGGCCCACCTCTCAAGCCTGTCAAGGTCCCTCTGGATGGTATCCCTTCCCTCCAGCATGTTGACCGCACCACACAGCTTGGTGTCGTCGGCAAACTTGCTGAGGGTGCACTCAATCCCACTGTCCACGTCTCCAGTAAAGATGTTAAACAACACTGGTCCCAGTACAGACCCCTGTGGAATGCTACTCGTCACCAGTCTCCACTTGGACTCCTAATGACTCTTTCTTTCAGGAAAATCTGACTGAGAGCACAACACTCAATATTTCCAGGGCACATTTAAATAAACTAACATTTATTGTGAGTGTAAAAATTCTTGCACAAAAGTAAAACATGACTGCTACTGTGCACAATGCAGAAGTGTTCTTTACAAAAGTGTTTCTTAACAGAAACAGTCTATGGGTGGGAAGGTGAGGAAGTTCTCATAAATGCATCACCTCGACAGCTCGTTATTTTGCCCATCCCTCTGCACCCAGCAAAGGACAAAAGAAGCAAAGGAAGTACCTTTGGAAAAATACTGGTCTCTTAAGGAGGGTAGGGTGGAAAATTACTTGCTGTCATTTTAAAATAAGCTAATAAAGTGATGATATTGGGTAAGATGGACACATTGAACCATGTGTCTTGCATTGCTGAAGGTTGCAGATAAAAGTTGGTCACAAGTAAAAGAGAGTAAAAAAAAAAAATCTGAACTGCTTTCAGTCTGCAGAAAGGTAAACACATCCACCCACAGCAAGACTTGGGAGCTAGGAGTCCAAGGGAAAATTAGCAAATAGGAAGAACTGCTAAACCTTCCCCTTTCTCCCCCCAAATGTATGGAAATGCAACGATAAAATTTACGGCAAATATAAGTGAAAAAAGAAGGGCAAAGATTATTGTTGTCAGCATGAAACTTGCAGAGCAAAGTAAATAAGAAAGAGGAGAGAAAAAATACTCTTCATAAGGTAATTTTTTTTCAGTTGCTGAGCCATGAAAATATTTCAAATCAAATTCCACTAAATTTTACTGAATCCCTCTCCACTCCCATAAGGCTATAATAAACTTACTATGTTTTTCTTCTGATTTCTCAGAGAAATTCACTGAGAAACTTGACTAACAAAATAGTCTGCTGGCACACAATATACCAGATCCAAGTTCAATCACCTCTTTGCTTAATAACACTTGCATTCCTTTGAAACTATATCCCCTTTGACTAGTTTGGAGCAGATTTTTTTTTTTTTTTTTTTTTTACATCCTAGGAGAATTTCACAGCTACCACGGCATATGATATTCCATCAACAGCTCCATCAGCCTGTTCTGGAGCAGTTCTACCAAGCACACAGTACCTGAAGCAAAACAAGACAGAAATTAAAAGGAAATGACTGGAGCACTCTCTCAGCTTCCCTCCCCTCTTGGTGTGAATATTTTTGCAGAACAGCACCAAGAGATAGTTTCACATCTGATACATTTGTGAGCATATTCCTACCCTCTTGCTAGCTAGCTGTTCTCAATTTTGTCATTCCCTGACTTCTGCCAATGCACTATGATCTACATTAAAAAACCAACCAAGCAAACAAAAAAACCCCAACCAAACACAAAAAAACCCAAAACAAAAGAAAAACAAAGAACCACCCAACTCCTCTGTTTTGTATTGGGTTTGGTTTTTTTTTGGTGGGGGTAAGGGTAAGGCACAGCAAAGAGGACTTTTTGTAGCCCAAATCACTATTATTCTACATGACCCACAGTTTTATCAACACAGCTGAGAAGACACAACTAGGCAGGAAGAAATGAGATTGCTGCTGAACAAGAACAACAACAATAAAAGTGTGGCTCTATCCCCTGAGAACCCACTACTCTACAATACCCTACAGACTGCATATTATGACACTTTTAGAATGGTGCTCAGAAAAAAGATGTTCAAATCTCATGGAGGTGAGGCTTGGATTTCCCACAGCCCAGACACCAATTGTATTTAAGAATGGTGTCACAAGTGCAACCACGACTGCTTTCTTCTCCTCTCTGTGGAATTAGCCATGAACTCTCTCCCTGCATTAGCTGAAACTATTAAACTAATGAGGACACAATGGTTCATAGTTTTGATACAATTAAAATCACCCCTTAAAAAATAAAGCATCCACCAAAAATTCAAAATTCAGTTAGCAATGATACCGCCCTCCTTTCCCCGGTTATGCCTCTCCCTGTTTAGAAAGCATCTGTGAGCTTTTCTTTCAGTGATCTAAAGGATGCTCAAGTTACAGCAATTGCTGTCAACCTATGTTTAACTTTGAATACATGTTTATTTCAAATGTGAAAAAATAGAGCATTTGCCTAAAACCTTCTGTATTCTATTTTCAAATAGATTAGTTACAAGACTTACAGAAACAATATTTTCTAACTTCACCTTTGTAACATTTACACATTCATGGATTTGCAAAAGGTTAAACACCATCTTGGATAATTGGAGATCTCATCATACTCAGGTAAATTATTGGCAGTAGCTTACAAAGCATTGAAGAAAAAGAGGGGGCTTTATTTCAAAAATCTTTTGAACCATTTGCCTGTTATTTCTGTTGTTGCATTTGTAAGACATTCTGTAAAGAGAAAAACTCACTCAAAAAGTGGTCTAACTTTTCGCGGATCTCTATATTTGACCATATTCAGTATAAAATACGGTACGGCTACAGGGTGATCAACTGCCTTGAATGACAACAGGAAGAAAACATTGTGCCAAATAAAAGCATGGGGCTTTTACATAGTTATAAAGACCATATGCACAGTCCTAAAATAACCATGAAACAAAAACATCTTCTACCATTAAAAACAATTCGTGAAGATACTTACAAACAATCTTGTGTGGCACCATTCCGTTATCCATTTGAAGCCTGTCTTCCATGAATGCTATTCCAAGGTTACTGAAATTATCAACACTTGCTTCAGCAATTAACTTATAAGGCTCACCAGGTTTACAGGCCAACGGTGAACAATAGTCTGACCACTTCACAATCTAGAATAAAGCATAGGCATATTTTTTGATTTTACAAGGTTACAGAAAAATATGAAAATACCAACAATATTGTAACTCTGCAAGATGAACTGCAAATAAAACCTGCCCTTCCTTCCCAAAGGCTTCTGCCATTAAAAAGCAGCACAAGAGTAGGCAGAGCCAACAGGGGGACACTATCAAACCAAAATGACACAACAGAAAAACCCAAGGACTGGAAGTAATTTTAAAGGAAGTAGCTACTAGGATTATAAAATACTAAACTGGCAGAATAACTTTTTAGACTTGTTTCTGAGTTTGTACTACTACATTTAATTGTATCACGAAACAACACATCTCAACTAGAAAAGGCTTTCAGTTGACAGTTTCTTTCACACAGAAGTACACCCTTCATGACTACAAAGGTCAATGTATGAGACTGAACACAACCAAAAGAACCCACTAAGGAGGGACTGTGCAGCAAGCAATACCTGCTACAAGATTCAGTCCCAAGAGAAGTAAACAAATCAACGTCCACATTAAGTGTCAAAAGCAAACTGGCAGTACAAATACATCTTTCACAAAGATCAAGGCTATAAAATCTTCAAGTAACATGCAAAATGGCAGGAGAGCATTATCACATTCTATAAGTAAGATTCTATTTGTATTTATTTACAAGACATGGCTTTCAGCACAAATTCTAAAAATAATGCTGATAAAAAGAGCAAAAGTAAACTAAAAGGGTTTAATAAAAGTACACGCTGACTATCAAAAGTATTAACTAAACACAGAAGATTCAGGCTGCTTATCTACACCAAAAATTCCATTCCCCAGAAAAGAAGCATTATGAAAGTGACACACTTGGGTTTGTTTTCTTCAAGAAGGTGAAGGTTTGTTAAACCCAAACTACACAGCTGTATTGTCTTGGAGAACAAGTTTCAAGTTTAACTATAAAAGCCACAACTGGAGGAAAAATGAAGAGTTTTGGTTTCCTCCTGAAAGGTAGGCACATTAATAAAGACTACAAATTGTCTACAAATTGTCAAATACTCATAACTGAAAATGACCCCTCTTAAACCTTGTTTCTAAAACAACAGTACCTAACAAGAGAACTTTCAGACAACTGACAAACACAGTGATTTAAGAGTCAATTCTAAAAGCAAAAACTGAATAAGGCACCCAATTTCAGTAAAAATCATGTGAATGATACCACAGCCTTTATCCTTTATAGGGTGCACAAACCAATTGTTCTCCTGTGAAGGTCTTTTTAGAGACAACACAGCACCAACTGTTTTCATGACAAAGACAAAAAAAAAAAAAAAAAAAAAAAAAATTAGCCTTCACCATTGTAATATGTTCCAAATACTGGGAGAAAAAGCACAATTCCCACATAGCAACTCCAGCACTTTGACCCTGTCATGATCAAACCACTTTCATGAAGTTCACTCTCTCTTATCACTCCACACAAGAGGTAACAAATTGATTAAACACAGTAAAGAAAAAACACTTATTTGAATGCACAAAATGAGGGTGAGGTCTTGGATATTTTACTTGTTCATAACTTGATTAGACTATTGGCTAAATTTACCTTTTTATCTACTGCCATTAAGTGGTTTTCATCACATCCAAAAGAATCTGTTTACAGCTTTTGACTCTACAGTATTTCCCAAGGTGTCCTGTTTCAGCTGGGAGAGAGTTAACTTTGTTCATAGCAGCCAGTGTGAAGCTACATTTTGGATTTGTGCTGAGGAGAAGGCTGATAACATACTGATGTTTGCAGTTGCTGCCAGGACAATCAAGGACTTTTCAGCTTCTCTGCAGTGCCAGTGTCTGCAGGTGCAGGAGAAGCTGGGAGGGAGCGCAGCCCCAAATACTGTCTTAGGATTTGACCTTAGGTTTAGGATTGAGACCCAAATTGGAAAGTGGTATATTCCATATCATGCACGTCATGCCCAGTATATACACGAGGATCAGTCTGGCAGTTCTCTCTCCCTCTTGGGTGGCTCTCAGACCCTTATGTCTTTTCCAGGATTGCAGTTTCACGACTCACTCTGCTCTGGGATTGTTAGCTGGGAACGAGCTGAGCCTTGGTCATCAGGTGGTGGGCAGCTGCACTGTGTATCACTCACTTGTACATACTACTATTATTATCATAATTATTATTCTCAGTTTTATTGTAGTTCAGTTATTAAATTGTTCTTATCTCAGCCCACAAATCTCTTTTCCCTTTACCCCTTCAATTCTCTCCCCCATTCCCTGGAAGCAGGGAGGGTGAGTAGCTGTGTGGTGTTTGCTGCTAGCTGGGCTTAAACCATGACAATAAGAACAATCCTCAGAGAATATTTTCAATCAGGCCAAGCTTTCCTGGTACAAGTAGAAATCTTCATCAAAATTCTGTCAGAATACAAAATGAAATGCCAGCTCTTAGTAAGATATGAGAAATTATTTATACTCCTGCTTCCTTGGTCCACCTCAATTTCAACAGAAACCAGTCACAGATCACTGATAGCCCTACAAAGAATGGCTTTTCTGCCTAGAAATTACCATAGGTCACAGAAGTAATCTGTTCTTACAGCCCCTGTCCCTGTCAACATCTGACTGCCACAGGTAGCAGAATTAAAAGAACTTTGCTAGAAGTGACATGTACACAGGAGAACAATAAACAAAATAAAACAGCCATCCTTTTCCTCTTTGCTTTTGGTCTTTTGCCTGGACTATCACTTCTGAGCTTGACAAAGCAAATTAATTATTAATGTATACATAAGAATGCAAGCATTTTCCATTCTAAAGAAAATGCAAACAAAACCAACAAGATTAGAAAACTCTCCTGAACAATACACCCCAAAAGAACAACAAACTAGAGCTTCAACTCAGATGTTTTTGTAGACCTCTCTGCTACAAAAAAACCCAAAAAGTAAATTAAAAAAAAAAAAAATCTCCCTTAGCCTTCTATCTGAGTTGACCCAGCACTCCACAGGTATACACTGAGACAAAGTAGGCAACACAGCAGCTATCCTATCTCGTTTATCTCCTAGAAGTAGGGGCCACCTGGATGGATTCCACAGTCTCACATCAAAGGCAATAAAAACATTTATAAACCAGCTAACGTGGCTAGCTAATGAGGCCAGTGGAAACAGCGTGAAAAGACTTCATGAGAAAAGGTCTCAGAGTTCTCAATAAGCTTTCAGTGCCTCCAGTCCTCACACTCTAAGCTTCATGGAAATAATGATTTTGCCTGATGCAGCACTTCACCTGGACGTCATTCTTCTAGGGGGCAAAGACTAACACGCTCCAAAAGCATGCTCTGTTCTAGAACTGACAGGCCTCCATGGAGGGTGAAGGTACTAAAAATTTGATTGCAGGTACAAATCTGTAATTGTGGCCGTTCCAAGCCTGTCCTTCTGTTCCTGCACTCAGGTTAGATAAGACTATTTACTAACCACTCTGCTCTCAATGTTCACTCCAGCAGAAGACTCCTGGATCATCTCCCAGAACCAGTGGCCCGGAAAACACACTTTCCTCATCCAGGGAAACGGACAGACCGCAAGCACCTGTGTATGTGACAGGTTTCCTTTAGCTCCAAAAAAGGAGCTTGAAACCTGATGCCAAAAAAGGAAAGATGACAGATGGCCCTTTAGGGTGCTGCACAGAGGCCATTCAGGAAGCCACCTTATCGAGCACCCCCAGGAGGTGATCCTAGCCTGTTGCATAGCTTGTTGAATAGGAGGGCTCTGTCGATTTTACGGTACCCCAACAACAAAGCCAGATGTTCTGTTATTGCCTACCCAGTGATACCCAGTGATATCCTAGCATGCATGTCATTCCGTATCTCCTTCCAGTATGCAACGAGGTCCACTCTGTCCTCTTCACTATGGAGAGCATACAGCACACATAACAACTGACTGGCTTAGGAAGGAACTATGACAACCTGTACTACTTAGATTTTTCCTCCCTGTAAGGTAAGTTAATCTTTTGTTTTGGGTTACAACCTTTCTTCCCCTTCAGACCTGCATCCAAGCTGAGACACCTAGGCAGCAACCATTCCTCATGTGAGAAAGAAGTTATAAAACCAACAAAATTTAGAAGAGAGACATTATCTCAAGTTCACAGTAAGTTTTGGTAGGGCCCAGATGCTATTTTTATGCATAATCTGTTTTGAGATGCTATATATTCAGTAATTCAAGTTTTGGAACATCATCCTTTGAACCCACATGTTCGCATTTTCAATATAGAGAAGATGCTTTTTAGATTTCTAAGTACCTAGGACATGAACATTTTATAAGTATACTTGCCATAAAGATTTTAATACTACTTTATATCTTTGGATGCCTCAATAACATTTTCCAAGTACTATGCATTAAAAGGAAAACATAAAAACATAAAATTCCAACCAAGAAGTATTGCCATTCCCCCACTGCATTCTACAGAAAAGCAAAGAGATTAAAGCTTGACTTTGGCCTTACTTCTGCAGACTGACAAAATTATTCAAAATGTATAATACTTTAACTTGTACTTATAAATCACAATGAAAGGAAGCTTCCAGGAGAGACTTCTATCTCAATTAAAGCTTTTCACAACCACTTGGCTGGAAGCTTGAAGAGCTTTTCAGAAATTTTAACATTTGCTTGCTCTGTATATTCTTACTAAGGCATTTGTTTCAGCTAGTGTCAAGAGACAAGATACTGAGCTAAATGGACTTCTGATCTGCCTCTGTATGACAGTTTTCAAGCATTTTTTTTCCTGTTCAGCATATCAAACCATACATGCCTTATCCAAACTCACAATGGAATTCTGCAGTTCCCATCCACAGCCAGAGAAGTGTGCTACTAAAAAAATCTCAGTATAATGTCTATGGATCTATTTGAGGCATAAAAAAGAACCAGAGTATTAACAGTGATCCATTTTAATGAAGAAATTACCTTTTTATTCCAAATAATATTATAAACATACAAAACCTATCTGCCACTGATTTTTTTTTCCTTTAAGTGTTTTAGGTTTATACCTACCAAATGACCTAGTTGTACTACTTCCTATGCAAGAAACAAGGAGAACTACTTACCTCTTTTGAAGAGCCAGGTACTTTCTGCAAATTATCTGTCTGAGCTGAAACGCTTTCTGTCACAAAAGCTATATGTTCTGCTTTAAGTAACTTATCAGGATAAATAAAAGGAGAAATGAGAAGCAGACTCCATCTGTTTAAGTCATCAAGGAACTGAAAGAGACAGGAAAGAAAAGTAAGTCTGTATAGAAAGCATCTGATTTAATAATTCATTTTTAAATTATGCCCAGACTAAATTCAAATCTGACCCTTCAGCCTTATGTGAAGGGTGTCTACCATTTCACACTCCCCATGAAGCAAAAATGAGGTCAAGGTCTGAAGCATTAAGCAGGAACACATCAAAAGTAAAACTAAAAGTGACAACTAAACTTTCAAGCCAATTCAGACTCCAGCTTTCAGCTTTACAGGAAGAGTGTACAAGTGAGCGGGCTACAAGACCACTATGTCATTGGCACTGTGACTGTTGTGGGCCGTTTGCCACTGGCAACATTCCTTGATCAATGAGAGCCCATTCACACTGCAGTTCACCCTGTCCCTTCCTTCCTTCCTTCCCTCTTCCCCCCTGGCTACACAAACCCATGGCCCTGCTGCCTCAGTTCTGGTGGCTGAAGGGCATTGTCTGCTACTCGGCAGGGACTGAGAACAGTCACGACACACAACCTGCCTGGTCAATCTCTACAGCCTCTCTACCTGGACAGTAGTCCAGGTGGCATTCATTCTAGTTGGGTAACAATCCTCCAGGAAACATACAGTCCCACTGCTAAATCATATATGTTGTCTCTACACCCATCTGTGAAAAGACCAACCAACCTGTGAGCCATAAGTGACCCAAGAACTATATATTACACAGGTTTAATTTTAGACCTAATATACAAAGTTTCAGGACTTCCTTTGTCAAGCCAGGTATATTAAGACAGTTATATTTTGTGGACAAATACAACCTCAGGACAAATTCTCTAAAAAGTTATTTGGAAAATCTTGAAAAATTATTTGAAATAAAAGGAGAAATTATTTGAAATAAAAGTAGAGGGTACTCTTTTTATGTAAGTCCTCATTCAGTATGTAACTTAAGTTTAGAATTAAAGAAATAACTCGTTCAAAACAAATCTGTCCATAAGGTAGTCTATCCACTTAACAGACCATTGGACAAATATTTCCTTCATTAAATTATAAAAATGCTTCCTTCTCTTGTCCTCACAAATGAGCAAATAAAGCTCCATAGCTGGAATTGGTAGACCAAAGAACAGTTTTAAGAACCTCAAAGCTTCTCAATACATAATAATCTGTTCCCATACCATATTACATCAACTTTCATGTAGATGTTTCATTGAACTTAATTTTTCTGACATATTTTAAAAGTGGCAAACATTAGAAACAGGTATTTTGCTACCATATGCTAGAAACACATGCTTTACACACTTTCAGTAAGTTTATGTGGAAACATAAGATAATTTCCCTATAGCACACTAAACGTGTACATCACTCCAAATCTAAAATCAAACCGTACAGTATTAAGTCTATGGGGACAGACTGACAATCCAACCAGCTTTACTGAGCACAGAAGCTGCACAAGTAAACATTACTACCTTCCACTGGAAAGTGAACCGAACTCATGAATCTTTTTATTATCTAATTTGGTGCAAGATGAAACAAAACTTTAAGATTTATGACTTCCTGCTATCTTATCTTAAAGAAGTGACTGATCACAATCCAAAGGCAGTTATACCTACTCGGAAAGCAAAGTAGCTCAGCTAGCTTCCTAGAAGCCAAAAAAGTATATTAGTTAACCTCTTCCTCTTCAGTATTCACAGACAACGTAGAAAGCTCCACAGTGATGCTGCCTCTATCTTTAATGCAACCAGATCAGAGACTTTATATGCCACACCACCGAGGTACAGCATGGCAGGCATCTTCCACAGGGATTCTCAGAGTCAAATGCAACTGGTAACTTTCAATACACATTTTTATGAGACAAATACATTTTGAGTAATAGCACTGACTTTACACCAAACTCCAAGCCAAACTGCAGTTCCCTAAAAAGCTTCCCAACTCCCAAAAACCACAAATAAACTGACAAGCTTATGAAATCACTCTGCATGAATAATATTGCAGACAGAAAAAAATGTGCTTACTGCACAAGGACTGAGAAGAAGCTATTTCAGAAACGAGCAGAAGTGGAGCAAAGAACAGCATAAATTAGCTGAAATACCATTTATGAAACAATTATCCAGGCCAATTGAGGCCGAATTCTTCTAAACACATGGACGATTATTTGGTTTTGGTTTTAAAGAGCTTTATCAAAACATGAATTAAGCATTTAACTTTCCTGTGAGAGATTCTGAGATTGTCACCATCGCCTTTAAGTATGAAATAATCTGCTCATTAGATAGCAAAAAACTATTTTTGAACAAACTCCATTACCACTTGTGATCTCAGATTTACTGCACTGAAAACATCCTCTTTACACACCAAATCTATGAAAAGCTTCTCTGCTTCTTAAAGAGCAGCACTTAGCCAACGACATGCTTCATAAATACATTTCAGTAACACCTATTTAAGTAAAACGTGCAACTACTGAGATAATTTCAACAAACACACGTATAAATCTCAGCAAAAGAGAGATCAAGAACATTCTTTTCCACGTGAATTCTGGTATCTAGTGACAAACTTAGATAAAACCAACATTAATTTAAAAAATTCAGATTATTGGGGGGGGGGGAGAGAGCAGAGGGGACACAGAGGAATTTCACTTCTAAACCTGAAAGTCAGAAGCAAGCTTACTTTCAGTTGTACTTCATGAGATGGCAAGTGAAAGCTGTTCAGACACAGTATTTTTCCACTGTCATGAGCCACCACAGCCTCACCCCACCCTCCTCTCACTGGCCATTCGCACACCAGCGATTTTCCCAGCTCTTGTTCCTCGTGCCATTTTCCTCGGTTTGTACCAGGAAAAGTTCTCCGTAACCAAAAGCTCAATTTGGGCTCCATTACAGACTCACCTACGTTTTAAATCTCTGACACAAATCTTGAAAGCACAATTAAGCACACAAGCTGAAGCCTTGTTATGTGCTAAATTATGCTACTAATACAGAAATACCAACAAGTTCTCCTACGTCCTCCTTTTGCCACAGCTGTACTTACAAAGCGGCACTTTACAGGCATACAGTAAAAACCACTCTCCAGCCCACTCCCTAAACCAACAACCAACAGTAGTGCAGAGGAGTAACTAGAACTGCACTAAGATTTCCTACCAAGGCAATTACCTGGGTCTCACCTAAGTCTTCCCCTTGACAAGCGGGGCTCCCACCGCCCTGCGAAGCCACACGAGCTATTTTTTCAGTCACAA